TCTTTTATACAGAATTGTTTATACCTTCAGTAACAGTTTTGGTTAACAGTAGAAGTAAGATGAACAAATGTGCCCTTTGGCTGGGACATGGGCTATAACTAATATACTGATGAAATGTGACAGAGAAAAGCATATAAATCATTGTGGAAAAAGATCTGCAAGTTAACTATAAATGAGTCACTATTTTCTCCAATCCTATAATGTTTTAAAGTCAGATCAAAAATTGATGAGGGAAAAATTGAAAGTAAAAAGAAACTTGTAAATGTTTAGCTTCCATTTAATCACTCAAAAATGAGTAATGCTTTAAGAAAATTAAAGTGCACTATTCCCCTGTACTACCATACAAATAGATTTAAATTGTTTTCCATATTTGCAATGGTGGTTTGGAGTTGAATGCTACTAACTCACCACATTGACTCAATAGGATACTTGGCAGATTTTAATTATAAGGATTAATAATCTCAGCACTACATTTATGGGTATTTTTAAAAGACAGGTAAATCCACTAATTATCTCATAATGAGAATGACATTTAATAGAGAGTCTCATTTAAACTAACTTAACATTTTGAACATAAGATACTTTTCACTGCATAACATAACCAAGTAAAAAATAAGTCACTCTTGCATTTATACTTCCTTCTGTATTTATTTAGGTAACTATGGGCCAGTATGGGGGGGGGGGGCATTTTCCCCTTTTATTTTGAAAAGCTTTGCTTTAAGCTACCTTTAGTAATTCAAGCAGCATCCCACAACAGTACCTGTGAGACCAAATGCAAAAGCTCAATTTTTGCTTTGAGAATTTAAAGCCTTTTACAAAACTGCTAGTAAATATATCTGTTCCACCCTACCATGAACCTCACCACAACTGAGAAAAACACTAAGCTCCAGAGACACCATCAAAAGCTTAAGCTATTACATAAACTCCATGGTGCCCAGAAAACAAAAATGCTTGTATACAAAATTCAGATAAACTGTCAGAGCAGTGTCACAGTACACAATAGCTCACTGTCAGAACCGCACCAGAAGGCGCTGTACCAGCTGTTACAGCACTTCGTGATTAACTCTCTCTAAGCCCAGTGACTCAAAACATGACTAACACAATCACCCGGCACTATTAGTATTGCTGGTTGTCAGAATGGACATTATTCTTGGCTGTGTGTGAACTACTGCTCAATAAGAAATCCTGACATCAATTACATTAATAACAACATCACTATCCATTTTACTTAGAAACAGGAAAAAATGCTGAACATTCTAATAAGGAATAATTAGAATAATCTGTTTCCTAAATAAAGAATGCTTTAAAGCTGATTGCTTTGAAACACTTTAATATTAATTTTAGTAAAAATACACAAACACATACATTTAAATCCTGTTTGAAATTAAACCTAGAAATAATCAAACATAATCCTTTAAAATTGGGTTTAAGATTAGTCTAGTCTACAGAAACATCTGGTTGTATTGACTTTTAACCTCAGAAATGAGATTAGGAATCCACTATTCGTAAATTTAAGTAATTTCTAATTATTTTATCTGAGTCAGATAATCTGTTCTTGCTAGGTCTAAAATGACATCAGATTATCATTACTGATTATCCTTCTACTATCAATAAGAAGATGGTAATTTTCCTCTTACACAGAAATGATTTATTTATTCCAAGAAAGAATAATAGGAACAAATCTGAATACTGATATGCTGTTTCCTCAAAACTTCAATCTAACACCTACAAAAAAGATAGCATTTGGTGTTTGTATGTTGTCTAATAGGCCTATATTCAAACTGTGTACACACTTTACATAATGAAATGATATATTCCTACCAGTGTTTTCCCAAAATGCCTCCTGGTCTTTGAGTACAAGAGTATGGGAAGGAGGAAGACTTAATTGGAAAGATTAAATTTACTGTGTTTCCTTCCCTCCCTTTCTTTCTTATGCTACCCGACAAATATATCACTTCTTTCACACTGTAAAGAGAGATCAACAGATTCAGATTATGACAAAAACTTGTCCATAACATGTCCAGGTTTGAAATTTCCTGTAGGTAGTTTTAACTTTTTTATAAAAATGAAGCATGTTTTAGAAAGAAAGCAAAATCTACATTTTTTATTTAAAATATTAAATACTATTGCATATAAGTGCTAATAACTTATTAGATTTAAAATTAAATACTAAATGCATAACAACTTTAAATAATTAAACCTTAATGAACCTTAAATCAATGTGGGGAGAAATGTATTCTGAAAAACCTTAAAAATTTTTTAATCCAAAAATATGATGCTTGAAGTTCACTATGAAAGCCCATGAAAATGCAACAGCAATTTATTGTAATTTTTCAGAGAAACTGGATTCAAGAGGAAGTACACTGACTATGGATTGGACTAACAAATATAATACGGTCTTTGTCTTTCTGGCTCTTAATACTTGCGTTTTTTTTAATGTTTCGCAAATGTGTGATTTCTACATACATCAGACCTCTCTACTACAGAGTATTTTGAGAGAGTACTACATGTATACAGAAAGAGATGAAACTTCGGGAGAGAGCATTATTTAACAAATGTGGTATCCACTCAGTTTTAGAAATAACACAATGTTAGAACCAATCTCTCTACCTTAAGACAATGAAATGTTCCATAGTATAAGAAAATAGAACACTGTGCAATTTGAAAATGCACGTTAACACACTGGCAGCAGGATCACCAGACAGAACCTGATGTTACACAGCAGTCCCCCATTACCTACACGGCATACGGTCCAAGACCACCAACGGGTGACTAAAGCTTTGGATAGTACTGAACCCTATACTTACTGTTTGTTCTCACACACCCAAACACTTTACAGCTACTCTTTGGCATACCTGAATTGCCAGCATCACTAGTCTTGCATTTTGGGACCATTACTAAGTAAAACAAGGGTTACTTGAACCCTGGGACATCATGACTGTTGATCTGATAGCCATAAAAAAAGGCTTAAATGATGGACTGGTGGGCAGTATATGCAGTGTGGGGATGCTGGACCACGAAGATTCAAGGCCCACGTGGGACGGAGTGAAGCAGGAAGGCACAGGATTTCATGATACTCAGAATTTAAAACTTAAGAATTGTCTACTTCTAAAATTTTCCATTTGATACAGTATTTTCAGATCATGGTTGACCATGGGTAACTGAAACCACAGAACGCAAACCTCAGATTAGAGGGGACTGCCATAAACCCTTTAAAACCCAACAAATATGACAAATTTAACTTTATATCCAACTCAAAGGTACATGCTAAAAGTTTGGAGGCGGAATTCTTAAAACATCTTGAAGCCCTGGCTGCCACGGCCCACTCTCCAAGGCCGCTGGGGCTGCTGGGTGGAAAGGCAACCGCTGCCCGCAGCTCGGAACCCACAACAGCTGGCCCTCACGGGTAACTTGTACTCGCAGTGGCAAAGCTACCAACGTCATCCCAGTCATTATTCGGAAGAAACTGGGGAAACCTGAGAAATCCCACTCCAGGGGACGTAAATGTAAGCCAATGACCTTAGTAAATTCAAAAGTGAAAATTCAAAATATGCAAGGCATAATCTGGCAATTTTGACATGACTTATGAACAGACTATGACATCATTGTGAATCATATATTCTAAATATATGATTCTTAATTGTGAATCATATATTCTAAATACAAGTCTCTTGTCAGATATATGATTTGCAAATATTTTCTCCCATTCTGTGAACTGGGAGAAAGTGAGAATTATTCTCACTTTCTTGATAGTGTCCTTTGAATCACAAAAGTTTATAGTTTTGAGTAAGTCCAGTTTATCAACTGTTTTCTTTGGTCATTTGCACTTCTGGTATCATATTTAAGATATTAATGCCTAACCCAAGGTTTATCCTATGTTCTCTCCTAAGAGTTTTATGATAATTATAATTTTTAGACCTTACATTTAGGCCTATGAATAACTTTTGAGTTAATACAAGTTCATGGTAGGAGGTAAGGGTCTCATGTCATTCTTCTGCGTGTGGGTAGGACGTCTAGTTGTCCAGCAGCATTTCTTGAAAAGAGTTTTTCTTCCCCCACTGAAATAGTCTTGGCATCCTTGAAAATAACTGTCTGTTAAGTATGTCTGTACTTTTGGACCCTCAATTCCATTTCATTTATCACCATGCGTACCCTTATGCCAGCACCGCACCTTCTTGATTACCATTGCCTTACAGTAAATTCTGATGCATTTTTTTGTACATTTCTTTCACTGAATATATTCTTACAATCACTTAAGTTTTCATACACAATACACACATTATATATAATAATATAATAATGATCTTCAACTTACATGTTTACTTACATACAAGTAAACAGTCTCTACAAAATAAATTTGTAGCAAAAGAACTGTGCATTTTAAATTTTTATAGACACTGAAAATTTGCCCTTCAAAAAGGGCAAATTTACTGGTTTATACCCCCACCAATAATATATAAGGTCTATTTACCCTAAGTCTTCTGTAACTCCATGTATTATCAAACTTTCAAATCATTACTCAATATTTTCCTTACTTTTAGATCTTTCCTGTTGTATGTGCTAAATCCCATTTAGCTAGTAACATACATTCAAAAAAAGATTTAATTACAAAGAAAATGTTTCTATCAGCAACTCCACTTTTTTTTAATTTACCTTATATGATAGCTTAAAGAAGAAAAAGAGATGTTCAAAGTAATTTTATTTATAATATAGAAAGTAACTGCACATTAGATCCTGATCAATAGGGGAAGGTCAACTATGAAGTCTACAGGTATATAAAACTACTTATGTTAATTTTTAAAGGCAGAATACAAAATTGTATATACACTCTATACACTGATCATAACCACCTGAAAAATTACAAAGGCTTATGAAAATGGGAATAAATGACTATGGATAATTTTCTCCTCTAATTTCTAAATTTTCTGTAACTTCTTAGAATTAAGTTCATACTTAGGAAATATGTTCATAAATATACTTTACATTAAAAATATACTTACTGTGATAATACCAATTAGTTGAGTATAAAAGAGTCCCGTTATTCCAACTAACATAGTGATGCCCATGAAGGCAGCCAGTCTCATTATGGCCAATTCATGTCTAACAACGAAGAGGTCCTATAAGAATTAGAAGAAGAAAAGTCTTAAAAGCAATTTAAAAAGTACCTTACATATTTGCAATAATAATCAAGAATTCAGCCATAACATTTTCCCTTACTATCTTAAAAGAAATACTCTCCCCTTCTTTTGAGTTTATTTCATTTAATCAATATATAGTTTTAAATTTCAAAAATACTTTTTCATTCATACCAGCAAGCTGAAAAATAGGATTTTACTAATCTGTTGTGTCAAAAACCTCAAGCTAAAGGTTACAAACTGGCCATGCTTGCTTTCTATTTATAGCAAAAAACCTCCAAAAAATCAAAACAGATGGTGTAGATTCACTGGTTCCACAAAAGTAACTTTTATCGCTGCACTGCTAAAACCCTTAAAGTTCAAGTGATCAAGATACCTAGAGATTATGTAACTGAGTCAAAATGAGGGGGAAAGTAAATAAAATGACAGGATCAGGTATCCGGACAGCTCTCCTCAAGCTCACTTCAACCATTCACCCATTCACTTAACCCAGCCACCACTTCAGGCACTATGCTATGGAGTAGAAATGTAACATGATAATGATACGGTCCGTGCCCTCAGGAAGCATGCAGTTTATTTAGCGAGGGTCCAGCTTTGCAAAACAGAGAGTGGTATGTGCTCTAACAGGGACTCACGCCCAGAGAACTGCAGAAACATCAATGCCTAGATGGGAGGGAGAAACAGGAATGCTGTGCATGGCTGAGGACATAAACATGAGGGTCTTAAACGTTAACCCAAAAAACTGTGGTGGAAGGACAGGGAAACAAGGGGAGGCATTTCATTCACCCTCACTGTTACTAACCGGACCTGCCAGAGGAGCGAGAGAGAATGAGAGAACAGAGACTTCTCCCAGAAACCTGCTTTGCTAAACTTCGGTTTAAAACAGCCACAGTGGAAAAAAGTAAGAATAAATGGGAAGGATCCCCAAAACATAACCACCCACATGCTTTTATATTTTTGACTGAGATTATGGCTTAAAGGTATTCTCGTAGTAATGCCAAAAGCAGGGGGGTCACTGAACATAATGCACTTGCTGGAAACAGAAGAACCGATGTTTTCTCTGTGTATCACAGTGATCATCCACCAGGCTCAGGCAAAAATCTGACTCCACACCCAAATCACTCAATTCACTAGCCTGGGAAACCTTAAAATTTACCAAGACACGTAAAGTGCGTGTCAAAATATCAGGCAGTCACTGCAAAACCACAGTAAAAAAGGGCCTACTGCAGAATCCTTACAACGTGTGAAGATGAAAAGATGGGGCTACAAGTAATTTTAAGAAAGGAAGATCTCAAGGAGGGTTAGCAACAGGGGAGTGGGAGGAGGAGAAGGGGGGAGAAGGTACAGAAAATAAGTAGCATAGACAGTAGATAGAAAATAGATGGGGGGGCAAGAATAGCATGGGAAATACAGAATCTAAAGAACTTGAGACACATGGTCATAAACTAAAGGGGGAGTAATGGTGGGGATGGGGGGTAGGGTGGAGGGGAATGAAGGGGGGGAATAGAACTGTAATGGCGTGATCAATAAAAAAAGTAAAAAAAAAATTACATACAAGTTCTGCTGTATGGAAAAACAAACTTGTTCCAATTAAGCAATAATTTGAGCACTGCAAGCATTCTGTATTTACTTATGCGTGATTTTATCTGTGAAAAACCCTAGATGAACACTGCAGCCGGCTAAATCGAGCCGTACTGGAACACACCAACACACGCATACCCCCAAACACGTACCAGCGACTCCACTTTATCACGAGCCGCCCGCGCTCGTCCACAGCTCGTTTCACAACCCACCCTCCCCTTTCAGACGGGCCCTCCTTCCAGCACGTCACAGTAACGCACACACGGCAACCCCACCTGGCGCCCACTTCCACAAGAAAACTTCAGCTGACTTTTAAGGTAAAGTGCCATGATCATGACAGATTCTACGTATTTCTTAACAACTGAACATGTATAACACTGTGGTGCTGTTTTTATTAAGTTCTTAACTTTCTAAGTGTCACTGAAAAGTTTTTGAGGGTTGTGCCCCCCTTTTCCCATAAGCCTTTTGCTTTTCACTGCACGACTTTGCATAGTGGGGCAAATTTTAGTAATATAGAAATTGTGTTACAGTAACAAAAATCCAAAATATGGTCAAATAAAATGCACCCTCTCTTCTCCCAGTGAAAAGACTGAAAAAAAATTTGTCAACTCAAGTTTATAAATGTTAGGGGTGAAGATTAAAATATCTACACATAATATTGCCTTTATTCACTTAAGTTATACATTTATAGTTAAAGGAATTTGTAAAAAATGATACTTTCATTTAAATTGAAATTGCATTTTTAACACTCTCACATTTTCAATAAAAGTTGTAGTCCAAGTTCACACCTACATAACCACAGCTTGAGTCATTCAGCACAGCACAACACCTTTACTTATAGCTTAGATTTTTTCAGAAGTAGCACTTTTTTAACCCAAAAACTGGCTTGGGAAATTTTATCCCCAAATCACAAAACCCCATTGACTCATTAAGAGCCTCACTACATAAACAGTGTTGTGGCTGAACTGGGTCTCCAGAAAACCCCTCCCAAACTGTCATTATAACTGGAGATAATGGCCTTTAAAGAGATGACTAAATTAAAATGAGGCCCCAGGTGAGCACTAACCCACTCTAACTGGGGTCCTGGTAAGAAGGGGAAATTCAGGAACAGAAAGGGACACCAGGAATGCTTTGGCGCACAGGAAAGACGACGTGAGGAGGGACACCGCATCAGGTGGCCGTCTGCAAGCCAAGGAGAGGGACATCGAGAGATCAAAACCTGCGGACATCTTGATGTTAGACTTCCAGCCTCCAGAACGCTGAGAAAATGAATTTCTGTTGCTTAAGCCTCCCCATCTCTGGTATTTTGTTACGGCAGCCCTAGCAAACTAACATAATAACTGTGTTTGTTTTTGTTTCTTCTCACTTTTTTAAATAAGAAATGTGTTTATATTCAGATAAATGCGTAAAACATGGGTTTAGTCTAGAGAAAAGTGAGACCACCCTCTCAAGAATGAGAACATTTAAAACCACAGAACCTTTCCTCTGTGCTACGCATTCCTCCCCCATCACATTCTCTCCCTCGTTCCTGCCCTAAAGGTGAAGATCTTTACTGCTCCATTCTTCATACACGTATATTTGTTATATATTGCAAACATCTTTTCTAATCTGAATCTACCTTTTCACTGTCTTTATGGCGTCTTTTGGTAACCTCAAGTTCCTTAATTTTAATGCAGTCCAACTTATCGATCTTCCCCTTTAGTGTTTTTTATTTCCAATTCAACAAATCCTTCCCAACCCTGAGGTAATAAAGACATTCTATATTATCTTCTAAAGCAGGGATGTCAAACTCATCTTCACCGGGGGCCACATCAGCCTCATGGTTGCCGTCAAAGGGCCTAATGTAATTTTAGGGCTGTATAAATGTAACTACTCCTTAACTAGGGGCAAGGAGCTCTGCATTAGGCCCTCTGAAGGCAACTTGAGGCTGATGTGGGCCCTGGTGAAAATGAATTTGACAGCCCTGTTCTGAAGCTTTTAAAACCTTTATAGTTCTGCCTTTCACATTTAGGTCATTAATTAATCTGAAATTGATGAATAAATTTTTGAGCAGTGAAATATAGGGGTGTGAATTTATTTTTACTATATGAATAGTCAATTGTTCGAGGATGGATTATTGAAAGAGCTGTCATTTCCTCAGTGATCAGGGGTCAAGTATCCATACAAATATGAGTCTGATATGGGTTCTTCCTTCTGTTCTCCTGGTTTATTCGTTTATCCCTGTACCAATGACAAATGTCTTAGTGACAGTGGCTTTGTAGTAAGCCTCTACACCTAGTTAACCAAGTCATCCCACCTAGTTCATTTTCAAGAATATCTTGGTTATTATACTTTATATTTCCATAAAAATTTTTAAATTAGATTTTCAAGTTACAACACACCCTCAGACATGCACACAAAAATAACATTCTCTATATTAAGCTTCACAATTTCCCCCTCGAGGTATTATACTTTTTTGCCAGAATTATTTCAGGAACTTCCTCTTTCTTGATTCTATTAGAAAGAGTTTTGCTATTAATTTCTATTGTATAAAGCACTGTTTGTCAGCATACAGAAACAGAATTTTTTAAATACTGTTTCATAGTTACACTTCTTAAACTTTCTTAAAAATCCAAAAACATCTATGGATAAATCCTTCACACAACTACATTATCTAAGAGCAATGAGAGTTTTATTTCTTTCAGAAGTTATGCCATTTTTTGTTTCTCCTGCCTCCCCCCCCCCCCCCCCCCCACGACTTGAACTGACTGTGTGTGAGAACGAGCAGGGCAGGAGGTGCCGGGAGCACCCAGAGCTTGTCCCCCAGCTTGGAGGGGTGTTTTGCGGGGGTTTTAAAAACTTTTTGCCTTATCAAAGCAGTTTTCTAGGTCTAGTTTGCTACAACATAACTAGCATGAATAGATGATGAATCCTATCTGTCTTCATACATTGGTACATAGTTTTCACACATATGATTTTTCCCTAATCTGTTTATGTAATAAAATATACTTACTGCTTTTTCAATGTAAAAACCTTTCATTCCTAAAATAAATTCAACTTCATCAGGCTGGTTACATATAACCAGATTCAGTTTGCTAATATTTTGTCTGAGTTGTTTATCTATGTTCATAATCAGACTAGTCTATAATTTCCTTTCTTTTTTTATTATCCTTGATAGGTTTTTGATCAAGGATATGCTATATACATACAATGAGTTTCAGGCAATTTTCTTTTTTATTCTTTTAAAGAGTTTGTAGCCCTGGCTGGTGTGGCTCGGTGGATTGAGCGTGGACCTGTGAACCAAAGGGTCTTCAGTTCAATTCCCAGTCAGGGCACATGCCTGAGTTGTGGACCAGGTCCCCAGTTGGGGGCATGCAAGAGGCAACCACGCATCAATGTTTCTTTCCCTCTCTTTCTCTCTC